ACACAGCTTGGTTTTATATATTTTAGGGAGACATGAGACATTAATCAACATATGTAACGTGAACATTGGTTTGGTCTGGAAAGGTGGGACAACAAGAAACAAAGGAGAGACAACTCAAAGAGAGGAGGGGGCTTCCAGGTCATAGGTAGATAAAAGACAACTGGTTGCATGCTTTTGAGTTTCTGATTAGCCTCTCCAAAAGAGGCGATGAGATATGCATTTATCTCAGTGAGCAGAGGGATGACTTTGAATAGAATAGGACTCAGTTTTGACCTAAGCAGTTCTCAGCTTGGCTTTTCCCTTTTGCTTAGTGATTTGGGGGCCCTAAGATTTATTTTCCTTTCACAGCACTTTGGCTTGTGACCTCAATTCTCTGATGGATCTAAGAAAAGTTGTGATTTTCAGCTTGTTCAGCCTGTTTTTCTTGTTGGAAGGATAGGAGTGATGAACTGCAAACTCCTTAAATGTCAGATTGAAGTTAGAGAGCTTTCTGGATAGAACTAATACCTTTTCTTTTCCCTACAGGTTCTTCATTTACAATGATAATGTTGGGTCACTTTGTGTCTTCTTGTTTACATAGTGACTGGAGGTTTGGAATAATTGTTTCTTATTGTATTATTTGCTAAATATGATATTTCTATTTTGAATTACCTCAGACCTAGTTTGAATTAGCTCAGTGAACACTGCTTTATGGAATCAGAAAAGTTTCAGTCTAGAGAAAATATTGTGCAAAATTATGTATGTGTCTTTGCATGTGCATGCAGGCTCGTCTATTTTTAATAACACAATTATAAAGTAACAATTTAGAAAAAAATTAGTGTATGATAAGGCATTTTACAAAGAAATGTATATGTATGTTTTCTGACATATGAATAAAATTTCCGGGGTATATTCATACAAATAATAACTGATTTCCTCCAAATTTTCATTTAGATTATTAATACATAGTAATACATTATTTACTTCTCCTGTTATGGGTTTCTTGTGATAGTGAACCCTTTATTTGTTGAAATCACATCTCTTCCTAGAACACATTTTCAATTAAGAAAGAATTTTTAAAATACATATATGGGGCTGGGCTCAGTGGTTCACGCCTGTAATCCCAGCACTTTGGGAGACTGAGGCGGGCGGATCACGAGGTCAAGAGATCAATACCATCCTGGCCAACCAACATGGTGAAACCCCATCTCTACTAAAAACAGAAAAATTAGCTGGGCGTAGTGGCGTAGATCAGTAAGTAACTATCTCTGTTGCAGATCATGCCATGTCTGCCACAAATCACACTAGCAAATAGATACTCAAATTCTCTCTTGTGATTTAACTTGATTCCAAATCAAAGTCATGTTCATACAAGAAAACTATGTGAACATGGGTTAAGAAAAATGTATTAAGCCTGGCGCGGTGGCTCACGCCTGTAATCACAGCACTTTTGGAGGCCAAGGCAGGTGGATCATGAGGTCAGGAGATTGAGACCGTCCTGGCTAACATGGTGAAACCCCATCTCTACTATAAGTAAATAAATAAATAAATAAATAAATAAAGCCAAGCGTGGTGGTAGGCGCCTGTAGTCCCAGTTACTCAGGAGGCTGAGGCAGGAGACTTGCTTGAACCTGGGAGGCAGAGGTTACAGTGAGCCGAGATCACGCCACTGCACTCCAGCCTGGCGATACAGCGAGACTCCATCTCAAAAATAAATAAATAAATAAATAAATAAATACATAATAAGTAAATAAATAAAATACATATATGAAAATTTGAGTTTTAGAAGATTTGTTTTAAGTAGAAATTAAGAAAGAATGGAAATGGAGCACCATTTAGGTTTGGACACAAAATGAAAAACCCAACATAATCCTAAGACATAGAAAAGAGGAAATTGAGACATTATTTGTATAAAACAAAATCAATGAGATGAATCGTGTGTTAAAAGAGGAAAAATGGTGGTGCTTAGAGGTGCAGGACAAGTTTTGTTGGTGTCCGGCAGGTCAAGGAAAAGTTTTCTGGAGTTAATGATGTTTGGGTTTAAGGTTAATTTCACTGAGAAGGAGAGTAATAGCAGTCTCACAAAGTCTCCGAGGTTGAGGATGTGAAACAACTGGATTCCTAGGAACCAATCTCACAAACTCCCTGCAACCTCAGACCCAAGGAGCTGAGAGAATAGAGAGGCATAGAGCATCTTTGCTTTTTTTCAGAACTGTCCCTGAAACCTTCCTTCATAAAATGAAAAACAAAAAAAGCAACAATCACTGTGCTGCCACTTTCCCAAATGATTCTGCCAACCTGCTGTCATGATTTGATAGCAGGAGGTGACTCCAGATCCTGCACCCTCAATGCAAAACAACTCCAGAGATTCCCCTACCCATATTCTCAGTCAGAATTGTGGAAGAATACTTTATGATCCTGGAGGAAGCAAGCTTGAATTTTATCAAAATTGAAACATCTGCTTTTTGAGAGGCACAATTAAGAAAATGCATGGGCAAGATGGGCGCAGTGGCTCACACCTGTAATCCTAGCACTTTGGGAGGCCAAGACAGGTCGATCACCTGAGGTCAGGAGTTTGAGACCAACCTGGCCAACATGGCAAAACCCCATCTCTACTAAAAATACAAAAATTAACTGGCTGTGGTGGTGGCGCTTGTAATCCCAGCTACTCAGGAGGCTAAGGCATGCGAATCGCTTGAACCCAGGAGACAAAGGTTGCAGTGACCCGAGATCATACCACTGCATTCCAGCCTTGGCAACAGAGCAAGACTCTGTCTCAAAAAAAAAAAAAAAAAAAAAAGAAAAAGAAAGAAAGAAAAGAAAAGAAAAAAGAAAGAAAGAAAAAAGAAAATGTATAGGCAAGCCACAAATTGAGAGAAATGTTTACAATACATATAACTGAATCACAGAACATGCATTACACACAAAACAAAGCAGTAATGCTAAAAAGAAATTTTTTAAAAAAGGAGAGTCAATTGTTTTAAAAAAGAAAATACTTGAAGAGATGCTTCACAAAGGAAGACAGGACAAACAAATGACAAACAGGCACATGGGAAAAATCATCAGGGAAATGCAATTAAAATTCACAATGTGATACCATCTGAGGGGTGGCGAGGATATGGAACAACCAAAAGTATTCTACAATGAGGAGAGGAGTGTAAAACAGGCAGTACTCTAGAAAACAATATGGCAGTATCTTATAAAGTTAAAAACACATCTACTTTATAACTGAGCCTTTCTATTCCTAAGTGTTTATCCAGGAGAAATGAAATCATACGACGGTATGAAGTCTTTTGGAAGAATGTTCCTAAAATATTCATTTATAGTTGCCAAAAAATCACAAGAAAATCCAAATGTCCATCATCAGGTATAGATAAACAAAATGTGGTATAATCACACCATGGAATACTACTCTATAATAAAAAGGTCATTCATATAATGGTCATTATAATATATAATATATGAATGACCTATAATAAAAAGGTCATTCATATAATAAAAATACTCATTCATGCAATAGTGAATCTCAAGACATTAAGCTGAGCAAAAGAAGTTACAGGAGAAGACTATATACTTTGTAATTCTATTTATATACACTTCTGAAACTGGCAAAGCTATTACACGGTAAAAAGAAAGTGAACTAGAAGTTGCTTTTAAGAGTTTGATGAGTGGGAGGTTATTGACTAGGCACTGAGACGAAAGGGAGCTATGTCTATATTTTAATAAAGGTGCTTTATATGTATGTATTCGTTTGTCACAACCTATATTATATCTGTTCATTTCAAAGTAGGTAAAATGAAATTTAGGAAAAGAAAAGCTTTGGCAGGTATTATTTCAATAAGAGTATTTTAAGAAGTGTGCTCTTGAAAGAGCAATTAAGATGAAAACACATCCCCAGTTCCTTCTTTGTGCTCTTCGTAAAGCCCAAAACCCACACTTGAACATTATACCCCATCTGTACTTTCCTCTTCAGGGATATTTCTCAGGCAATTTTCCCATCTCTCTCCTGAACCATTTTTTTCCCTTTTTTTGCTGAATCATTATCATCAATGTAACACATGCTCTAATTTCTCCTACCTATGAAAAATATTATTTCCCTCCAGCTGCTAATTCATATCCTTCCTTTACCTTCAGGTTTTCCACACTAGACTCAAAAGTTTTCTTCTAAATCCTCTGTTCTATAGAATTGAAAGTGGAAGGATCACATTCTCTACTGATAAGGAAGAAATCTTTGAATTTTCCTTCATTGCTTTTTCTCTCACATCCACTATCAAATTCTTCTGCAAATCCTGTTGCCTCTACCTTGAAAATACATCCAATTTCCCAGTGTTTTACCGCCTCCATCCATCCCAACTACCTTGATTGAAGGCAACGTTGACTCAAGCCTAATTATTTCCATGGCCTTCCTACTGGCTTCCCTGCTTCCAGTCTTCTATTTTTCTTTTTGTCAGTACAGTAGTTAAGTATAGTAGAGTAGTTAACATATCACTACCCTATTCCAAATTCTCTAATGGCAGAATGCAGCTGATAATATCTTCTGGGTCTAAAATGCTTCTGGCACCCGTGGTCTTTCCCATCCTGAACATCAACATCTCTTCTATTACACGGAGCCACACTGTCTCTATTGCTCTCCTGCCACACTTGTGTCAGGGTCTTCACACTGATTTTTTTCTCTGCCTTTTGTATTGCGAAAGAGATGAGTAGTTCTCTTTCTTGTCTTCTTCAAGAAATGCAACATCTCCACTTCAGTGAAAGAGTCTCTGGCAACTTATTGACAATTTCAAACCCTGTTAGGGGCCTCTATCTCCTTTCACTGCCTTATGTTTCTTCATGGCATTCATCCCATTTTAACATAAAACATATTTTATTTCATGATCTGACTCCTCCCACTGGAAGATAAACTCCAGGAAGATCGGTATTTTTGTTGTTTTTTTTTCCCCCAGGATTTAGAATAGTGCCTAACATAAAATGAACACTCAAAACATATTTATGGAGTCAATAACTCAACACTGAAAAATTGCTGATATCTTTTATACATTGACGTGTAGTTCTATTCATTTGATTCCACTGACTGATGTGCGGTTCCACCCTTGTAATTTAAATTAACATTCACGTTTTCAGAAGTCAGCTAAACCTGCAACAAAACACAGTATTATTTACACATGATTTCACATTTCCAGTGAAAGCTCTAAACATTAAAAATAATTTAGAAACATTTATCATAAAAAACACTTTCAATGTCCAGTTGTTTCAGTTTTTTTATATTTATATTTTTGTTATATGTATTATATATATAAACATATATTATATATTTCAATTTTCTATTATTAAAGTTTGCAATAATATTTATCATCAGGGGAAATTCCCCTCTTTATATCTATCTCACTGAAATGAAATATGACATTTTTTTATAATGAATTGAATAAGATTTTAAAGAATGAAATTAGTCCCCATCAGGAAAAAGGTCGGTCACCGAAAAATTTAAATATTTATGATCTGTTTTATAGCTAGGCATCTCAGCAGCATAAATACAACAGGTAACTTTGCTGAAGGCCATGAAATATTATACCTGAATGCCTGTGAGGTAAATATCGGAAATTTCCTCTTTGCCCTGAAGAGAATACAAAAATAATAAAGTAATAAAACCAACCTTAGTATAATGCTATCTTCTGACCTAATTATCACTTTGGCTTTTTTATTCTTAATGTTACTTTTTTTTTTTTTCCGCTATGGCGAGTCATGTTTGTGGGATAACTGTATTCGTCTGAAGAAAATGTTTATCACTCTGGTACTTATCAACAGACTTCCTTCTCCCTGCCACCTTTTTTCCTACATGCTGTTAAACTACACCAGATAAATGTCTTATAATGGTCAGCATCAGATTTCTTTGATGAACTACATGTCAAAAAAGCAGAAACCCACAACAAATTGAAATACCAGAGGCACAGTTCAGATCTTGGCCTGAAGGTACAAAGACACTTGTAACTTCCGTTATTCAGCGTAACTTGGAAATAACAAGAAACAACAAAAATGTGGGGAAAAAAACCCCGCAATAATGCTTTGATTTATTTGGATATTTCAAAAACTAACCATGTTACCATTTGTGATCATTTTACATTTTTTAAGACAATCATTACCACTACAATTTTCTTAAATCCCTCGTTCTAGGCTTATTTTCACTGTGCATGTTTTTATTTATGATGTAGTTTTATCATCAGATATGGAGCTGTCTATAAGTCATAACAGACTAAATGGAGCCCATCACCATTCTTTGATTCTGAAAATAATTATATTGCAAATCGTATACTTTACTTATGGAAATTTTTAACCCATAAAACTGTCACCTGACTGGCACATTGCTGAAACACTAAATTTTTATTCTCAGTGTCATTAAAGAAGTAAGTATAAATAAAGAAGTTTTCTGATTTCTTAGTTTTACACATTTAACAAACCTTGTGACTGTGCAGATTGTTAAAATTGTTTTTTCTCACAAGATGTTTTTGTTTCTAAATTAAGATGGGTAACTAACCATCACAAATTGTGGTGATGGGTTGGAAATTGTGTACCAAAATATGACAAGAGAGAGAGGCACAAAATAAATCACCTGAGTCCCACAGATATTCTTTCTTGTTCTTTGGGATGGCTGATGTTGTGTGTCAACTTGGCAAGACCACAGTGCTCAGATATTTGGTTGATTCTTATTGTGAAGGTATTTTTTGGATGAGATGTACATTTAAATTGGTAGATATTAAGAAAATCACACTTCACAATATGAGTGGGCCAGATCTAATCAGTAAAACTCTTTAATAGGATAAAAACGTATCCCCATGTGCAAGAAGGAATTCTGCCTACAGACTGTATTTGAACTCAAAACACACCTCTTCCCTGGGTGCCCAGTCTTCCAGTCAATTCTGCAGATTTTAGACTTACAAAGCATCCCTACATGAGGTAATTACTTAAAATAAATGTCTCTCTCACACATATAAAGATGTATGGACGCGCACACACACACATACACACACACACACACCCTGCTGGTTCTCTTCCTCTAGAAAACACCAGTTCACTCCAATTATGTTATAGCAGTCATACCTCTTTATGAAGACCACAGTCAACTACCAAAACTAGAATATAGCAGTATTTTATAATTCACTGACACAAATGTCCCAGGTGACTAGGCAGTGGCTGTTTTTAAATAAAGTTTTTTTGCAGCTTTAGTGTTTTAGGTACTCTTCCTCTGTTACCTAAAGGAAGAGTTCATCCCTTTAGGACAGCCATAAATACAGAGCTTAAAGTCTCTGCTTCTACCCCATTGGTTTCCAGACCCAGGTATTTTATTTATTTGATGGAATGTTCTATAATAATCATTAATTTAAGCAGTATAAGGCATCATAGAGTACAGCGTCCCATCAATGCAGCATGAAATCTCCAAGCTTAGACCTCAGCCGCATCAAAAGAGATAATTCACCATTCTATTATACTATCATCTTCTTGAGGTGTAGTGTGAGATAGGAGCAGTGGATTACATGATCATGTATCTGTAGGTGAACTTTCCATTTAATAAAGTGTGTCTCTTGATCCCCACATCAGTCAACTGACACTCTGTGAACCTTTTATTTTTTTAGTATTCTTGTTCAAGGTCTTGCAGACATAGAAGGACAATGGATACCCACCTGCTTCTGTGCTTATCTGGTTACGATGAATAGCTGTCCTTCATAGTGAGAGTGTGGAAAGAGTTTGAAATAGTTGTCTTCTAAGTGGATGATTGATCTCCTCAAGATCATCAAGAAATCAAGAGCTCAAAATCCACCTCTTTCGTTGACAAATCAAGCATTAACTAATAGAAGTAGCTAGGTTAGCCTTAGTGAATGAAGTATTGTGGTAGAAAAGGCCAATAACAAGTCAATATTGTTTGGCTGACATATAGACTCCATCTCTGCAACCATGGCTACTCTGTTAAACAGTGTATTTTGAAAGTATTGATGTGATTGTGGACAGAAGCTGATTAACGCCACCTTCCTGAACCTTCTAGAGACACTAGATGATTTACTGCCTCTTCTGCAATGGATGTTCTTTAATGGGCATTAACAGTTGGTACAAACATTTCTATTCATTATGCACACTCTGAATGTGTATTCACACACACACACACACACACACACACACACACACTTTCCTAAATCTTCAGACCTGGCTTCTTCCATACAATTACTTAAACAAGTGGTGAAACATTTTCCACCCTCCATAATTCCATATCTATCTATCTATCTATCTATCTATCTATCTATCTATCTATCTTTAGGACAGGCAAATTATCTCTTCATAAGATGTGGATAACAAGATGCAGCATATAGTACTCTAATCAAAGAGAGGCATTTTTCTCATTACTGTGTTTAAGGGCACCCCTGAGTGTAGTTGTTGTGTAGTAGGATTTCATGTTCAGTTTACATACCTATATGGAGCCAATTCATCTGTGAACCCAACTTAATTGCTTCCCTCTTTGGCAGCTTGTCAGAAGGAATCCCATGAGGCAATAGGTGTGAACAGAAGAAAATAAATCTCCTCGACTCATATGGCTTGGCTGTGTCCTTACCCAAATCGCCTCTTGAATTATAGTTCCCATAATCCCCATGTGTTGTGCAAGGGACCCAGTGTGAGAGGTAATTAAATCATGATAGAGGTTACCTCCAAGCTGTTCTCATGATAGTCAGTGAGTTCTCACAAGATCTGATGGTTTTATAAGAGGCACCTCCCCTGCACATGCTCTCTCTTGTCTGCTTCCATGTAAGATGTAACTTTACTCCTCCTCGCTTTCCACCATGATTGTGAGGCCTCCCCAGCCGTGTGGAACTGTGAGTCAATGAAACCTCTTTCCTTTATCAATTACCTGGTTTTGGGTATGTCTTTATTAGCAGTGTCAGAATGGACGGATACCATAGTTGTTATTAGTATCAACAACTATGATAAGAGACATGGAATCTATTCATTCCATTTACTTGGGCCTTCTGGACCTGCTCGAGTCATTTTCTCCATGAATCATTTCAATATTAGAGATGAACTGCCCATGGGTCTGCCCAACCTTGTCACTGGCTGAGGCTGACAGTACCAGTTCATGGTGGGCAGTTCTGGATGCATGATTAATTGATGTCCCATGATTAGATACTTTATCTCTACCAAAACCTAGTAACATACTAGAAGATGATAGTTGAATGGTGTGTTAGTGCTGATAGCGTGGTCTTACTCCAGAACACTAAGAGTCTGTGCTGTGAATCTTCTGAGTTTTGCCAGAGACTCCCCAGTGTGTCCTTTTCCAACTCAGATACCTCTAATTAAATAAATCTCCTAGATGATATGGATCAAGTGGTAAGACTGCTTAAACTACAGCCTTGACTGGCTTTCTAGACTTTCTTGCTCTCAACACCACTCAAAATAATATTCCTTACTTCGGTATCATATGACAAATGCATTGGAGCTACATTCTAAAGTATGGGATGTATGTGTTGCTTCCTATACATAGAGTTCTACCCAAGCACTGTGCCTCTTTCTTGGTAGGAGGCAATATAAATAACTTTGTTTTACTTTGGACAGATACGCAGTATGCCCCAAACCATTGCATCCTTAAATTTTACCTATGTACAGGCTTCTGAATCCTTGTAGGTCTTATCTCACACCTGCTAGAGATTATATTTATCTTACTAAGGATACTAAAGTACTTCCCACGTGTCAATCATAAAATATGATTAACTTGGTTTCATCATTATGGACCAATATGATGTTCTGTGGAATGTCCAGATGGCCCAGTGAATTTTAGAATAAATTATGATGGAGAAGAGGAAAATCGACCTAGATTTGTGGCATGATTATGAATAAATGTGGCTCTATGTAAATGTAAACTACTTCTTATTCACTCTCTACATAAGATTAATAGCTGCCTATCACATATACAAGTTAGCACTATACTTCTCTAGTAAAGATATCACATTAGGTATGGTACCTGCAATGGAGGCTACCACATGGATAAATTTTAAGTAGATCATTGTAATTTTTCATGGACTGCATTTGGGAATTAAATGGGTATGTAGTAGAGAACACCATACCTACATCCTTTAAAGTTTTTGAGGATTATAGTGATATCAATTGTTCCGCTGTAATGACAGTTTTCTTCTTTACTATTGTATCTGGGTGTGACAGCGTTAGAGACTTGTTATTGGCCTTTTCTACCACAATACTTCTTACTCACAGGTCCATTGATGTAAGAACTCTGTTGTCTGCTATGTCTGTTCTCTTTGTACATTTGATTACCAAGGAAATGACTACAGTGGGTGCCATGAACCTAGAGAACCCACTGAGAATGGATCCAGGCCAGGTATTCATTGATTTCTAACCTCAATATGCCTTTAATCTTTAATCGCTGCTTTGAAGCAGTGTATATCCTTGCCAGTTGAAACCTAAGATCCAATTCCCTTCAAAAGAACTCCATATTTTCCTTTCCCCAATGTAAGATGACCTGAGCAGATGAACACAGGCCACTTTGGAATGGAGGAAATCAATACTCTATAAACTTTCTCTTATACTGCAGGATGTTTTCCCACAGGGACACATTTTCAGTGAATGGGTTTCAAATATAACTGGTTTATGAATTTCCATTTATTTCACCAGACTACATATCCCTAGATGTATGTTTTAATCGATCTATTTATTCGTCTATGTATCTATCATCTATCTATGTTTTGACTGCCTATATATTTCCCCCTAGTTTCCTATTTCAATTAAGCAGTTCCATAGATTCTCATAAATCAGTCCCCTAGCCCCACCAGCTACCATTCCAACTTTGCTGCCCATTATATTAATCTTGCTTCTGATGCTTAAATAAGTACCGCCACATTGTGCCTGCTATTCTTGGATCCTACCAATCCAAAGCTAGTAGGTATTCCTGCCTTATAATACAGTCTATGATTATCAGTCATTGCCTACATGGTAGAGCCACTATTGAGATTCTCAGTATTGCTCGTACCCTCTCATGAATGCATTCGTTATTTGTTTGGGACATGGAGTGACTTCCAGGCCTCTTAAAGAACATAATCAGATGGTGGATATTCTTCCTTATAAACTATTCCAACATCCCACATTTTTTCAGTCTTATGTTCTCACCCCAGCCACTCTGTCATGACACCTTTGCCTCTCTATGTCGTGTAACATGGGTCATCAGTTTTTCTATGCTTCTAAGAGCTGTACCAACTCTCCCCTTTCCCGTCTTCTGGAAGTTCTTGCCAGGACAATGTCTCCCATAGTGAAGGAGTATGCTCTCCTTACCCTGTTTTACATTTTGAATCTTTTGATCCAAGACTTTTACAATCACTCCAAGTTATAGTATTCCTCATCCTAAAAGTTGCTATGACTTCACTTCCACAATGTTCAAACAGTAGTGACACTGAACAACCAAATGCATACCCTCCCACCAGTAACCCATTCCTCTCTACCACAGGTTGTAGTCCTCACAAACACTACAACATCCATCCAGGGATTCCTAATTTTCTATCTTCCATCAGTGATGAGCTCCTAATTGCCTTTTTATCCAGTGCATCATTCACTTTTAGAATACCAAACTTAGAGTTTGCTTTAAAGAGCTATGCCTGTTTCTCCTAATACCAATAAAGTTATTTTTGGCTATTTAAAACTCTAAGATAAGGTGAGAGAACAAGGAAATAAATTAAGATAGTGTAATTTTTCTTATATCTTTCAGTCTCATGCTGTTTTACATTTTAAAATTATGGAGGACCCTAAAAATATTGTTTGTGTGGGTTATTTCTAAACATATTTACCATATTAAGAAAATAGACCTGAGAAATATTTATACATTTATTGATTAAAAAGTAACAATAATAAACCCATTAACATTAATACAACAATAGTTTTTATCAAATAACTATTTTTCTGAAACAAAAGAAATACTTAGAACTGTGGTGTTTCTTTACATTTTGGCAAGTCTCTATAATGCATGACTTAAGAGAAGCAGCTAGATTTTGATATATGTGTCTATATTCAAACTATTGTGACAGATCAATTGTATTTAAGTATATTAAAGTAAATACAACCTCCCTCAGATATGTTTGTAGTATAGGGAAGAGTATTTTAATAAACTTGATGAATGGCAGTTTCTAAAGGGTTACTTTTTATTGGGAGAACCTACTCCTGATGTTTAACGTGGGTTCTTTTCTATTTCCTAAGTGTCTTGGCTGGGTTGAGAAATAAAGGGAAAGAGCACAAGAGAGAGAAATTTAAAGCTGGGTGTCCAGGGGAGGCATGACATGTCAGCAGGATCCGTGATGTTCCGCGAGCCATAACTAGCAAGTTTTTATTAGCAAGTTTCAAAAGGGGAGGGAGTATACCAATAGGGTGTGGGTCACTGAGATCACATACTTCACAAGATAATAAGTATCACAAAGCAAATGGAGACAGAGCGAGATCACAGGACCACCGCATGAGGTGAAATTAAAATTGCTAATGAAGTTTCGGGCACACATTGTCATTGATAACATCTTATCAGGAAACAGGGTTTGAGAGCAGACAACCTGTCTGACCAAAATTTATTAGGCGGGAATTTTCCTCGTCCTAATAAACCTGGGAGCGCTACAGGAGAGGAGGGCTTATTTCATCCCTTTGGCTTCGACCATAAAAGACGACATGCCCTAAAGGGGCTGCCTACAAGCCTACCTTCAGGGCACATTCTGTTTCTCAGGAATGTTCCTTGCTGAGAAAAAGAATTCCGCGATATTTCTCCTATTTGCTTTTGAAAGAGGAGAAATATAGCTCTATTCCATCCAGCTCACCAGCGGCCAGTTGAAAGTTACCTCTCTTGTTCCCTGAACATCACTCTTATCCTGTTCTTTTTTTAAGATGCCCAGATTTCATATTGTTCAAACACACATGCTCTACAAACAATTTGTGCAGTTGACACAATCACATGGTCCTGAAGCGACATTTATCCTCCTCAGTTTAGGAAGAAGATGATGAGATTAAGAGATTAAAGTAAAGACAGGCATAGGAAAACACAAGTGTATTGATTGGGGAAGTGACAAGTGTCCATGAAATCTTCACAATTTATGTTCAGAGATTACAGTAAAGACAGGTGTAAGAAATTATAGAAGTATTAATTTGGGGAACGAATAAACGTCCATGAAATCTTCACAATTTATGTTCTTCTGCTGCGGCTTCAGCCGGTCCCTCCGTTCAGGGTACCTGACTTCCCGCAACAACTTTTATTATGGATTCTGACAGTGTAAAGAAGAGGATAAATTACAAAAGGAAACAGAAGGAAGTGTCACAAGATACTTGGGGTGTCACTTCACCAGTCAGAAACTTCTGTGGCCAGTGGCGTCTTTACCAGAGTTTTGCTTGGGCCCTGGGCATGTTTTACCTACTTGGCCTGGCAGGCTGCACTTGGCTGGTACTACAAACCCAGATCCCACACCTGCCAAGGGCAAGCCAGGCACAGAATGGCTCCAGGCACAGAGCAACAGGGCAGACAGATCCAGGTGGTGCCACAGGTGCCAGCTCTGTGCAAGGCTGCAGCTGGACCATATGTACTGCACATGGCTTCTGCCGTAGGCACCCATATCTGGATGAGGGGAATGCAGTGGTGCAAGGAAACTTGGAGATGCCAGGAACTGCACAGCCTCAGAAAGGGTGTCACAGCCCTGGCTTGGGAGGGAGCCCCTAGGTCTGGGCTCCCCAAAGAGCCACAGCTCTTCTCTTATCATCCACAATATGGTGATTGGGGTTTGTGTTTCAGTCCTGTTTGTGTTACAGCTCTTTCAGTCCCACCATTTGGTGGGTCCCAACTTCTTGTCTCATGTCCAGGAAGAATGAGGTATGTGGACAACTGGAGGATGAACAAAGTGGAGAGACACTTCATTGAGTGATAGAACAGGTCTCATGAGACCGGAAGTGGGTAGCTCATTTCCATAGGCACATCATCCCAATGAGTGTCCATCTCTCAGCAGAGAGGAGGCCCTCAGTGGGTAGGTCCTTTCTGCAGCTGGTATTCCTGAGGTCTCTGTGAGTCTGACTGAGTATAGGGCATTTAATAGGATTCAGAAGAGAAGAAGTGCATGCTGATTGGTCCATGGGTGGCCCCAGGAAAAGCACCACAAGTTCTCACCCTGAGCCACTGACTTCACCTGGAATTGACAGCCAGCCCCCATGCTTCAGGCTGTCCCTGGCTTGAAGATGGGGCTTCACTGGGGACCTGCCTATTTCCACCGAGGAGCCTGTCGGCCTCCTTTTGCCATTGAATATGTTGTCCATGGTACCCAGGCTGTTTGGGCAGAGGGGCGCCTACAAGCCCAGCCAAGCCACCCTCAACACCCCCTCAGTTTCCCTCTCCCATGCTTATTGGTGCCCAAAGTCCAGAGGGGGCCAAGACAGCATGGGGCTGATTTGTCAGGACCTCCTTGAGCTCCCACACACCTGGCTGGGTCACGATGGTGCCTAGGCTTGGCCTCAACTTTGCTCCAAATCTGAATGAGCACCTAGAGCAGGGAGAGGCCAGGCAGTGGGAACAGGCCCTTCTTAGCTTGTGGAGGTAGAAGGACTCCCTGGGTTCCCAAGAGTAGAGGGATGCCTGAGTCCACACCTTGCTGGGCAGCTGCTGCTGTGCCAGGGTGGGCATGGCTCCTGCCCTGTCAACTTGGAAGGAGGTTGGGTTCCCACCTGTTCCTGGTTCCCATGGGCTCTGTAGAGGGCACAGCCCTGGCCACGCCTCCTCCACTGGCATCTTTGCAGCAGCTTGCTCTAGATGGGCCATCACTGCCATCAGAAGTATCAGTGAATCTAAGGAAAAATTAAGAAAACAGTTTTCCAGGAAGTCATGAGAATAATGTGTATTAAACAAGAAGGAAAATGCAATAAGGAGGCAAGATGAGGATGGATGACTGCCAAATGGATTTAGTCACAGGATGGTCATTCGTGATCTTGAAAAGGGCAGTTCTGGAATGGTAGGCATGGAGTCCTGGTTGGTAGGTTTAGGAAATATTTGGTAGAAAAGAATTTGGTATCAAATATAGATAATTTTATGAGGGACTTTGTCGAAAGGAGAAAAAAAAAAAAGAGCTTTGGCTATTAGGGGTAAAAGCTAACAGGGACCAAACAAATTTTGTTTAGTTGTTTTGTTGTTGTGGGAGTTGTTGTTCTACATGAGAATATTACCATTGTGGCTGCTATGTGATGGAAAATAAAAAAACACATGTGGTAGAGACAAAAAAACATATGTGGTAGAGAAAAACATATGTGGTAGAGAAAATAAAAAAACATATGTGGTAGAGAAAAAAAAAATTATGTTGGAGAGAGTATTTTTAATTTTGCCCTTTAATATTTTCTTGAAATGCTTCTCTAAATCAGACTAAGGGGATGCAAATAAAAGTGAGACACTGATCTTAGGATGACAGGCATATATAGTATGGTATAAATCTTATCTTACAAATTCTCCAATTGAAGAAAGTATAATCTGCTGTAGGAGCAGGAAGGCAAAACTCTACCTGTGGGAAGGCATTGTGAAAAGAGGCTGGGATTAAATGACAACCTCTGTTATATAATGAAGTAACACGATGACACTATATACTCCAGACTCAGGGGTTCCATAGAAAAAAAAATTTTTTTAAATGCAGGCTGATGAAATCATCTGTTGTCTCTGTTTATTTTTAAAAGGGAGCACTGTAATAGAATGGAGAAATGTTGTTTTGGTTTGGGTCTTGGAGGGATGGGGTCGTAAATTAGAAACAGTGATTTTACGTGGGATGTTACTAAAGTAACTCTGGTGAGAACTGATGGTACCAGAACTGAACTATGTCAGCTGCTGGAGACCAGAAAGGCTTTTCTATGTCCTACATTTGCTACAACCAATAACAGGCTCTGTCAAAGTGTTTACTTCATCCAGCCTTTGACACAAAACAAATGTAACATGCATTTGTTTTGTAAATATAGGCTTAATGTTACCCTAATTTTAGATTTTATGATCGTTTGTTTTACTTCTGTTTCTTTAGTCTTCTTTATTATTTCTCTTAATCAATCCCTCACCATACTTTTGCCTTTAAATTAAATACATAATTTTATATATTCTGGGGGGTGGAGAAAGCCAAAGTAAACATATCTGAATGAAACTTTAGAGCATGAAATTGTGATTTGGAATGGAGCATACCTCCACATATACTTTATTTTCAATGCAGGGAAGATGCACAATTTTTTTTTTTTAATTCCTGTTATTTAGAGTCACAAACTTAAATGTTCAAGCACTGTTTTAAAATATTTTATTACTATCATTTTATTCAACTTACATACATTCGTTGAGCTGGTGAGACTATTACAGTGATATTTACTATCACTGTACCATTATATTTTGTACAGTTAGCATTTTTTACTATTTGTTAAATAAAACTGCCGTTGTTTCCCCAGTATTTATTTCCCTACTTCATGAGTGAGATTAAAAAATATATTGAAGATTAAAGTTTAAAGCCTTCATGTGTATTATCTTCAGAATAAAAGTTTAATAATATGTTTATCTAAGTATAGAATGTAAATAGGCATGTTTGTTTCTTATGCAACAAAGATTATAAAATATGTTAAAAGATAGCAAGGACCCTTCAAGCCTCTCTTGTGCCTGTTTTGTAAAAACAATTTTATCAAAGACAACATGCTTTTATTCGCACCACTCTTCAATTTTATTTACAGGCCGTAGACACAGAAATGCAATTACTTTGCAAATATAAGAGTATCTGGAGACATGTACTCCTAACCAATGTGACTTGACTTAGATGCCTTATGAACTCTTAACATTTTTATAATACCTGAATCAAAATTATGAGTTATTGTTGTCCTTCACTCGGAATTCTAGGTTAGGAAGTGCCTAAGGCATGGCAGAGTTATAGTGAATAGCAGGAGTTTTGCAGCCCTGTGATTCCGCATGTGTTCCTGGCTGTTTCTTTGTTGTCGACTACAGAAAATGGGATGGATCTGTTATGTATCCATGCTGATGCTCTCCAGAGATCCTGACAGAGGTGAGGAAATAAATGGTTTGAGGTGGACACATTAAAGTGACTCTCATGTTGGTGTAACTGTTTTATGCTTTCAACAGAGAATCATCTATAAACAATAATCTCATTTTATCTTGAGTTTCCTGCATTGTTGAACTAAACATAAAAAGCTTCTGAAACAAAACTGTGCATAAGGTTTGACTGTGCCTTTTAACGTGAGTGGAACTCACTCGGGTAGGGTGGGAATTCATTAGGTAAATTGGCACTGCAGTTGGTTGTGTTTCCATTGAAAACGAAAACACTGAAATGAAAATTCTGTGAAATATGGATGTCCTCTTTTTTCCTTTGAGAGTTTTTCAGATAAAGCTGTGAAGCGGCATACATTAAAGCTGCTTTCCATTCTCTAAATATTGAATCCCTTGCTTTTAGGGTTTGCTTTCAGACAATGATAAATTTTCCGGAAATTTTAAACCAATAGGTATTTATTATCAAGTATTAGGGGGATGAAAAACTCATTGGAAGTATATTAAAAAGGTTCTGGCCACACTTCCAGGAATGATTCTACCTTTCAGATGAAACCACCTCTGCTATAATCACAGGCTCAAATGCAAGAGAAAAAAAAAATTACCACAACTGACAGCAGGAAAGAAAACACGCTAACAATCAGAAAGCAGAGATGACATAAATGCATTATCTCTGTCCTTATTTGTATGAGCACACAAGGGACACCTCATTTCCTTCCTCCTTGTTTTCTTAACTCAGTTCTCCATTTACCTAATGTGAATACATATGATTGATCAGACCTAAATTGTATTCAGAAAACTCACAGCAAGAGCCTCTGAGAAGTAGAGCGTTCAGATTTTTAACCTCTCCAATACATCAATACACACTAGAAGAAAATTCTAATGGATCTTGACCATCAATACACATTACTTAATATCTATCCAACCTTTAAGATACTTCTATAACATTTATTGTTAGTTGAAATTCTGTATATGAATGTATATGAGACCCTAGTTTCCACTTACATTATATGATTAAAGATACATTCCTATAGGAGGCGGAAATAATTCAATATCAAATTGTATACTCTACAGGGCAGATAGTCCCACTTGCCTTAATTTTCTTAATGATTTTGATGGAGTCCCGATAAGATGAGTAAACTACAAGAAGGAAGGGGTCCCAGGTTAGTGAGAACAATTGTTCTCAGAGACAGCTAATCACAATCCCCTGCATGACATCCTATTCCCAAATACCTTATTCTGTATATAGCATGACCTTATTTGCACATCTTATCTGCACATAGCCCTTCCAGTATGACCCAACAGAACTCCCTTCAGCCCCTGCCTCTTGGCAGACAGTCCCTTCTCTCCTGTGCTGTCTGTTGCACCCTTGCAACATATCTTTGTACTTTCTCTAATAAATCTGTGTTTCTTTACCTAGGACTGTCTTGGTAAATTCCTTTACTGCCTGTGATGATGGTCCCAGCCAATCACACCTTCAACATTTTGGTGGCCCATTTGGAGAGTCCTTAGGGAATGCTTGAAGAGTTCAGGGAGTGCTGGGGGACCTGTCTCTTACTCTCTTCTTTTCCTCTTCTCCAACTCCAGCCTCTCATGGATGCATCTGAGCCCAGAAACAATTGAAGGTCCCCAGCCGGGGCCACTCCCTGGCAGACCAGAAGTTTCTAGTAGAAAGATATCTGACCACCATCGCCCAACTGAGTGAGAGTTTGGAGTATCACTTTCCCTTCCAGTCTTCCAGAAGACAAAACTGTAGTGTCCCTCTGGCAATTGATGGCTACTGGCCAGAGCCACTCTCTAGTGTAGCCTAAAGGCCGAGGATGAAAGCATTTGGCTGCCTTGCCCAGAAGAGACGAAGTTCCCCTTTCCGGTCAAAAGTCCCCAGTCCCTATGTCTAGTGCAATTAGCAATGGAAACTCAATCAGGATGAACCTAAACACGTTTTGGGAAACTCAGACCCATCTTTCTCACTCTAAACTCTCCCATGAAGACAACCAGGCATGCTGCTCCCAACGTCTTAACCCAGGTGATTCCAAACATCACTGGGACAGTGAGTCTTCCCTTAACTTTTTCCCCTCACATTTGGATGGAGAACCCTGCGTAATTCACACCTGGGCTGAGCTGGGGTTGCTCACCTAGTGTTCATCCAGTGGAAGGCCCTAGCGCTCAGAGATCGGGGCACTAGGTGGGACTTCCCTTTGGAAAGTGCATCTTGGAGTCCCTCAGTGGACGTGAGTGGAACCCTTTTCCCTTGGCGGGATGCCCCAATAAAAGTTGTGGTTTGTGCCCCTCCAGACATTATTTTTCCTGGTTCCATCATGGGACAATACCCCTCCATTCCCTCAGACTTGCTTCTGAGCTTCATTTTAAAGCATAGGGAACAATTTGACCCTCAAACTCTCAAAAAGAAACATCTAATTCCTTTGTGTAATACAGCATGGCCACCTTATAAAATTCCAGATCAGGAATCCTCCCAGCTTCCAGGAGGGACCCATGCCCCCAACACTATTTCACAGCTTTGTCTCTTTTGTCATAATTCCTCCATATGGTCTGAAGTTTCCTTTGTCCAGGCTTTCATGATTCCCTCTTGGGACCCTGACCTGCAACAGACCTGTCAAATGTGCTTCGTTAGATTATCTGGCCCCATTGACTCTTCTGATATTTTGGACGACCCTATTTTACTCTCTCTCTCATTCTCCCTAAGCAGATGAATCAGTTAAGGCCACACCTCTGCCCCTAACAAACCACCTTCACATTCAATTACACCTACTTCATCTGCTCC